GTCACTTATGTGGCGCCAGATAAACAAATGTCAGTACGGCCACCAAATTTGACTAATATAAAAATTGTTTTTGCACCAATGATTTTATTATATTAACGTTAATCATTTGCAAGTTTAATTTATTTAAATGCCATATGTTCCCTGTTGAAGTTTCACAGCCGTTTCACACACGAGTGAATAAATATAATTAATTATAAATGAATTTTTTTAAATGTAGTTAACTGTCAAGAAAAAAAATGAACTGATGTCAATCAACCTAAATTAGCAACAGACGCGCACGTTTCAAAGTTCTATAAATATATCTCAGCGGACCGTTAACTTTCGAACTGAATTTCAACCTGCTACTCCGTTGAAGCTCACTTATCGGGAAACTAAATAAAGTTTGAAGATGAACTCAAAAGTGACTGTGGTCTTCGTGCTTGCTCTCATGGTTTGCCTATCTTCAGGTCATATTTTTTTAAAAAGAGAAGCCTTGGACAATGTTGGAAAAAGAGAAGTAAAATATAATATTCCAATTTGAATTTACAACATTTTTTTTCATTTAAAAAAATTGGTTTGCTGACGTACGTTTCACGCTTGCAGACTTATGGTTTGATGAGTGAATAAAAACATGTGTACGTACAAAGTTGAAATATTTTTTTAATTTATCACAAACTTAATTTCATAATTTTTTTTGGAAAGTTTCAAGACGATCAGCAGTTGTTTAAAAGAGAAGCAGAGCATTGGATGGCAAAACGTGATGAAGGTCAACAGTTGTCAGCCTCGCATGAAGGGTGTTAGTTCCATCAACAAATTTTCCTTTTAGAAAAATATCCATACATTTTGGTATATTGCATACTACAAGTTAAAATAGTTTTAGTGAAGTTTACATAAAATTTGTATAGAAGTTTTTTTAAACAAAAAATTATTGGTTTCATTTTATTATCAGAGTGTAGACGTTGCATCGGAAGGATGGAATGATTTCATGCCGAAAAGATGTGAAGCTTTAAATTATTTCCACAACCACTTTTAAATTATTGATGGTTGTTGCTTTTGAACAAAAATTATGATTTGATTCAGTTCAATTTCTCTCATTAAAAGTTTCTAGAAATTTTTCCTTTCAAAATTGTTTTATTTTAAAGTATAAAACATTTCCATAAATAAATTTGTTACAAACGTACAATTAATAAAAATTAATAATAAATATTATATTATTGAATAATAAAAACGATTTAAATTTTTAAATACCATCAAACCATAAACTCATTCATTTTGCACGTACAACTAATATTAAATTCAGATACTAGGATAAATGTGAAAATATTTTTTGAAAACACGATTGTTAAGATAAATGAAAAAAATGTATGATGATATATATACAATATGTTTGATAGAAATCCAAGTTGCTCAAGCATCAATGAAAAAACCACAAATGGTCGCAAATTTTTTGGTAAATCAAGTAAAAAAATCGCCAAATTTTGCCGTAATAAATGGTAGAATATGTTTCTCTGAGCTGGCCGTCAAAAGAAAAAATTGGAAGGGAGCTTTTGTTTGCTAAGAATGTTTGCGATGGTATATCTCACGAGAGAATTGTTAAAAAATAATAAGAAATACGACTAATTGATAAATCTCACAAAAAAGATGCTTATATGAAAAATATCAACAAATTTGTAAATGAAAACAGATATTTCACTAGTTATAAATGGTTCTCTGATGAACGCAGTTACAACTGTCTTCATATTTTTATCACCAGTCAGAGGAGGGATGTTATTATTTTATTAATATATTTGGTCTTAATACCAGTTTATGTATAAAATGGAACAAATTTGTTGTGATAAAAAATAAAAGAAAACCAGCCAAATTTTGGCCTCACCACCACACTACCACAAATATTGTTAGTTTCCTGCCAATTCTCCAGATCCGCCAATGTTAGTCAATCACTTCTATAAATATATTTTAGCGGACCGTTAAGTTATAAACTAAAGTTTTAACCTGCTACTATGTTGAAATATTCTTTTTAAGGAACTAAACTTTGAAGATGAATTCAAACATGGCTGTCGATTTCTTGCTACTTTCTCTGGTTTGCTACACGTCAGTTAACGGCAACATGGTCTTTAAAAATGGTCAGATGGACGAAACAAAAAAGGGAGATTACATATGTCGTTTAAAAAAAAATTAACAACAAAATTATTTCACATCTGCATAAATGTCTTGCACACGCTCTAACAAGTTTTCATAACTCAATAATTTCATTTCATTTCGTTGAAAAATGTTTTTGATAGTTTGAAAACGATCAGCAGTTATTTAAAAGAGGAGCAGAGAAATGGATGGCAAAACGTGATGACGGTCAACAGTGAATGATTTCTCTTCATTGAAACATCCCAATATTTAAACTGCATATTACTCATAAGAGTTTAAAAATACTGAATTAAGTTGTGTTTAATTTAACGGTTTAATATTAATGGAAGCTTGTTGAAAAGAAAATAATTTAAATGGTTCAGAATCCATCAGCCGTTCTATCGAGTAAACGAGATAAAAATTGAAAAGTTTTAAAGCACGTTGAATATATAATGCACCAGTGCCAGGCAAATTTACATCAAAGTCAGGAAAACGTTCCTCCTAATTAAAAAAAATATTCCGTCAAAACAACAAACCGACATGTTGCACTTTTTAAAATGTTATCATATGTAGCCTACATGTTTTTATGGTTATAAAAAAAATAAAAAACTAAATTTTCACAAATAAAAATATTTTATTTTAAAAATTACGCAACTTTCGGTTGAGAAAAAAAAGTTCCTTTGGACTAAACAAAAATTTATTATAAAACTTTCAAATTTAGCTGAAAAATAAAAGGATCTAATCGTTATATACTGTAAATTGTTACTTTAAACCACTTTTACATTTCGTGTGGTGTTTTCCAAAAGTTGAAATAATTTCGATACAAAACACCCACATTTACATTTTCAAATAATCTTAAACTACGAAATATTTCAGGGTTTAATAATATTCAATGTTTTATGTCGACACGAGGGTGTGATGGTTAAGGCGCCTGGCATTGTTGACGCTGTCTCCGGTTCGAATGTGAAGTGATACCCGTCTATCACATGCGAAAAGTGTGTAACGTGATTCACGTGAATTTACTTACACTGTGTGTTTGTTAATAATAACCAAACCAATTATGGAAAATTTTTACACCATTGCATGGGGAACAAAAAATGTATGTACCACTGCTCCACCAATCACAGTTCAGGAGTTTTTAACACATCTACAATCAAGTCAGAACTGTCAGCTGATGAAATTATCAATCCGCACAGAATCCAGATCAACTAATAGCTGTTTCCACCAGTTTGAGAGTATTTCCGAGGAAGATTTAAAGACAATCACTTTGTCTTCTTCAAGTAAAACATGCTGCCTCAACCCTATTCCAACATTTCTCCTGGTGGAATTGGTTGATAGGCTTTTGCCATTTTTACCAAACCTGGTCAATAAATGTTTACAAAAATCAACGTTACCCAGGTCCCAAAGGATTGCAGTAGTCTAACTGTTGTTGAAGAGACCTGGTCTAACGAACAACGTTGTGCCCAACTATAGACCCATTTCAAATCTTATCTTTGTATCCAAACAATTGAAAAATGTTTTCGCTCGCCAGCTCTTCGCTTTCCTGAACAAAAACTCACTACTTCCAATAGTTCAATCAGGTTTTCGTCGAGCACATTCAACTGAGACAGCAAACTTGAAGGTGGTTTCAGATGTCTGTGGCCGGTAACATATCATAGCTGGCACTTCTCGATGTAAGTGCTTCTTTCGACACAGTTGACAACTAGATTTCATTGAAGCGATAATGGTGATCTTGTGATTCTTAAATTCAAATCGTCGCGTTTTGGGAAGAGAAGATTTTCTGCTTCAAGTGCAAAAATATGAAACTCACTGACCACCTGTAGATTTGAAGGAATTCAACATGAGCGGACATGTTTCCAAGAAACGTTTGAATCATCATTTGTTTTGACCTACTCGAGTGAAGCTAGCGCCTCTGAAGTTATTCAATAGGGGCGCTCCACTAATCCTTGGATAGAAATACAGATACAGTATATATATAAGAGAGAATAATAATAATAAAAAAATCAATAATTTTATTTGAAACATATTGTATTAATAATATAAAAATACTCTAATATAGTAATGGTTCTAATAAAAATTTGTTTTCTAAAACTCAACTGTTCAGTTTTTTATTTAAATTTCATTATTTTTTCATTTACGACCCTATCACGCTGCATAGAGAGACCTGAAAAAAGCATCTTGTTGCTCTGGTGAATAATTAATCTGGAAATGCTTTTCTTGAATAAAAAAATTACTGAAACATGTAAATGAATTTTAATGTAAATGTTTCAAAAATGACGCTTTTTCTTTTTTTTTTGAAATATGAAATTAAAATCTTCCAAGGGAGAAATCAATATTTGGTGCACGCTATCACCTTCAGATGTGTCGTGTCTCATTACGTCATAAAAATTTTAAATTGTATTTTTGCTCTCCTCACCCATTGTTTTCATTACTATCGAATGAGAATTTTGTTTGTGTTCTTAGTGTGGTTTTAAAAGCAATTTAATGATTTCTAAAAGCTTCGGTAATTGTTTATTACTACATTTTAAATCTACATTTAGTTTTAGGTTTTTCATAATGTTGCTGCGTTTTCTGAGCAGAACATTTGTAGGTTATAATTATTACCAATACGTGCTAAGAATGAAGTGAAATTTTAAATTTTTCGATGTAGGACATTATTTTCCGTTTTGTTTAAATTTTTCAAAAGGCGATGTTGATCCAAACTAATTGTCCACAATATGGTTATAACCGTTGAGTCTCGTGACTAGAAACACCGATGTTATAACTTCACTGATCTCTATATTTCCAATACCAGTGTTGTAGCTTCCAACGATAGTCAAGTGTTCGTTATTCAATACAACTGCTTCAAACGCAAACTTTATTGAACGTTAATTTGAACAACCAACAGTAATAGAAACATCGAACTAATCCAAGTAGCGCCACGTTTTCGTTGTTGCGATTCTTCTAGTCATAGGCAGACGTCGTTGTCCCCTCTTGATTTCGTCTGAACTTAAAACAAGTTCTATCTTTCTACAGAGTTTACAAGTTGTAGAATGACCATACAGGTATCTTTGATGAATAGCGTATGGTTTGTCGGTGAAAACATTCCAGTCGATCAGTGAAGCAGCGATGCACATCTCATCTTCATCAGCAAGCTTTTTTCCACTTCGTGCTGGAAGGGTTATCTCAAAACTTAAATTGTCATCTGTCCAGTGATGACGTAAGTACTCAAAAAATGTACTTAAGTATAAGTACTAAGTACTCCATAATAAAAGTACTTAAGTATAAGTGCTAGGTACCAAACAAATTGTGTACTCGATACTTATAAGTAGTAAGTATAAGTACTAAGTACATAAGTACCTAAGTACATACCATGGTTAATTTGAAATATTTATAAATTTATTAAACTCAGAAATCAACTCATTATTTACAGTAATTTATTTACATCAATAAAAGAGTTTGTTCTTTTTGAGTAAAAGTAAAGTTTCAAATGATTCATCACTTAAACGATTTCTTTTAGGAGTGAGAATCATTCCAGCCTGGCTAAATATACGTTCCACAGGTGCTGATGATGGCACAGTGGTATTGTACTTCAAAAACACTTGTGCAACAGCAGGATACCTAAGGAACAATAATATAGTTGTTAACCGAAATAGCAAATTATTAATTTGTTATTAATACTTGAGAATAAAAATGTATTAGAAAATCAAGCATATACATATTATACATATATAATATATTACAGAAAAATATTGATTACCTTTTGAGTTGTTCCATATCATATGAAGGATCACTAAGATATTGCAGTCCTTCAACTTTTTCATTCGATCGTGATTCGGAACTTGGTTCGTGGAATCCATAAAAATCTGCACTAGTACAACCTGTAGAGTCTATGATATAGATATATAGATGTCAGAGTGATGTGAGTTAACCACCTTGTGATGACTCAATTAGCCAATGGTTATCTTAACATCCCGCTATCCAAGACTAAACAAGGACAAATGTTGATAAGAGAGATAAACAAGAATGTCAATGTGAAAATGTGTGTGTGTGTTTTCATCACAGTTTTCAATTTTTAAATGTTGACATTATCTTATTTTTGCTTAAAATTTTTCTGGTACTTACAGGCAAAATTTATTACTTATAAGTACAAGTACTGAAAAATGTACTTAAGTATAAGTATTTAAGTGCAGGTTTTCATATGTACTTAAGTATAAGCATCTAAGTACTACATTTGTACTTAAGTACAAATGTACTTAAGTACTCGTCATCACTGCATCCGTCACCAATTCGTGTCCTGAATGAACATTCGCAATAAAATCACCTTCACTGATATTGCAACCATTTAAATAAGTTGTCTTTGTCACCACCTTCATCATCACGATAACTGACTTTCTGCATGTCAACACGAGAATGGCAACCACTACGTGCTTTGCAAATACCACGGGCGTTGTAGTCGAAATCACCTGTGGGAAAGATTGACTTGCAATCTCTAATGTAGTTGTTGGCAGTTGAATAAGCTGGTGAGATGATGTCGGACCTTCTTCATCTGTTACTGGTTCGGTCACGTACATATGTCGTTTGTCTGATTTGCTGTCTAAATTTGTTTCTGAGTTGTTTTCAGTTGACACTCAATTAGTTGATGTTTTTTTTATAAGCAGATCCCATTATTCTAAACATTTTGATTTTATCGAAAATGTCATCTATTTCTTCTATAAAAAGATCCGGGAAGTCAAACCCATCCGGATCGTTACCTTTGTTTGTCAAAGCGTTCTTTAGGCGGTGGTTTTTTAAAACAGTCTTCGCTCCTTTAAAGTCGAGATTTCGTTTTCGTAGTTCTTTTTTCAGATTATTTGTGTTGAGTTCTTCAACTATAGGCATTCTCTATTGCAGACAATTTTCAATATATCAAAAATTTTATTTCTGATGCTAATGTTGTAACCCTTTACTCTCGTGACTACCAACACCAATGTTATAGCTTCAATGATCTCTATATTTCCAACACAAGTGTTGTAGCTTCCAACGATCGTCAAATTTTCCTAACTCCGTAGGTTCAAACGCATACTGTGTTGAACGTTTATTTGAATACCAACAGTAATAGAAACATGTAAATAATCTAAGTAACTACATAAATCACATTTACGATTTCGCTTTCTCTGCTGGAAACCTGACTGTAAACCTCACCACGCAGGACCTATATATAGCCTAGATTTTTAGCATAGATTCAATATTTCCTTACAATCCTTCAATCCAAGGTTTACAAACATAACAAAGATAACAACAATTTAGAAAACAAATTATATAGCACAATTCGATCATTCTAGCGGTTATAACAATATCAAATACAAGTAATTTATTGTTTTGCAAATATTCAAACTTCAAAATGATAACACTTTTTATTGAAAAATTTATTTAGGAGTACGACTTGATTTGTCGAATTTAAAAAAAAACTTAAAATAAATGAATAGTAAATTTAATTTTGATGATTCTGATAAATTTGTTGCAATGGTCTTCTTATAAATATTAATTAAAAATTTTATTTCTTTAATCATTTCGACATTTTTTCACCACCTTACCTTTAAAGATTTAGAGAAGCTTAGCAATTATTGTCTTCCTACCAAATTTTTTTCATATCTATGTCACACAGACGTCGAAATATATAAAATTGTTGGTATTATTTTCTGGTTAAACAAATGATTGCTTTAAATGTCCAAGCATTTTTCATTATTAATAATCAGAAGCTTAGACAATGAGGGACCTTTTAGTTCACTTTTATAAACATGCTTCATGCCAACTTGACCAAGGTTAAAACATTTTGAGAAAAGGTTATATTTTTTAGCTAGGGTTAAGAATGAATTGAAAAAAATCTCTATAATTTGTAAAAATTAAGCCCCATTCAACAATAAAACTAAATTATATTTTGGCACCAAACGACTGGTTTTAACAGCGAAATTGGTTTGAAATTGTGTGCAAAGAATATAATACGTTGGTGATGTTCTATTTGTAGAAACAAATATATAAATAATACCGTAAAACTAGTATGGGCTAAAAATAGCTGCTGCCTATGTCCAAAAATTATCTGTAGACTTGTCATGATGCATAATCATTTTTCATGTCTAGCTTCATACTAAACTATGCAAAATCACATTGTGTGTGATAGGACAGATTTATTTTTCACGATCATCGAGTAGGGAAGGTAGGAAATGAAGTGATAGATTGATTAGAAATGAAGTTATTTTTTGGTTTTATACTGTATTTCATTGATTTAGGTGGAAATTATAACATTTATTTTTTTATTTTAACCAAGTTTTGTTTATATCTTAGACTAAACTCAAAAAACTGGAAACCTTATTAAACAAAATGGTTCATTTTTGATATTTGACAAAAGTTTTTTTTCAAAAAAGATTATTTTAAAGCACATAAATAATAGACCAACAAGACAAAAAACGCAAATTTATTTACGTTTATTTACTTCGCTGAATTAAAAATTTATTTTTAAAATGTACAAACAAATAAAATGTATAAAAATAATGAATCTAAATTTATACCTATATTAAAATAACCCCCACTGCTACAAGCAATAAAAAGAAATCCTTATAATTACATTGTCACATAGATAAGCATCTTTCAAACCCAACTTCACACATGTTTGTTCATTTGTTTGTTTGTTCATTCATTTGTTCGTTCGTTTGTTTGTTCGTTTGTTTGTTTGTTTGTTTGTGTGATTGTAATTTGTTAGATTACTGTGAGTTTAAACAACAATGTCGGATAGATAATCGTTTGAAAGCAATTAGCCGTGAAATGTTGAAAGTTTTTTGAAATTTAAAAGTGAAATCGCACGAGGTTTCACATACAAACTACCGGCAATTTTAACGAAATTTAATTTTTTAGTTTAAAAATTTTGAAAAAAAAATTTTTAAGTTACAAAAAGTGCTGATATGATTTTATTTTCAAAATTTTTATATTGTCTTTCATGATAAATGACTTTTTTAATTTTTTACCGAGAACTGAGCTATTTTTAAACAGTGAATTTCATAAAAGTATTTGAAAGTAAGACCGAGGCAACTTTAATGGAAAACAAAAAAATAAATCAAAAAGGATAAAATGTCATGAAGATTATCATGTAAACTATCCCAAGACCTAAATATATTGGGTGGTAGGTATCATAAATTTACGTGTTAAATCCTATGTTTATTGATAATTAAATTATCATGTGTTCTGGCTTTGATGCTTTGTAACATAAAATCGTTCAGTGATATGTATAAACATACATATGTGTATATGCGAGTGTGTTTTTGTGTGTGTTGTGTTGTGTGCGTGATATTTGTAAATGTAAAACCATTCACATACGCCCGTAAAGATGTCGCGTGTGTTGCATTGAAATTATCTTAGTGGCTGGCTACGTGACTAATTGCTTCAATGAATTATCTTCGCGTTAAAAATAGAAAAAGAACGAACAATGCAATTGGTACATTATAACGATGAATGCAATTTGGTTGTTGTTGTGATTATGTTTTTTTAGTTGTTGTTGTGAGTATGTTTGTGTCCTTTTGTCTTTATCTGTCTGTATGTATATATTTCTGTGCGTCTGTGTTGTTTGATATATGTGTATTTGAGGTGTGTTTGTGTATGTGTGTGTTTTTATGTGTGTTTGTGTGTGTGTCTGTGTATATTTATCATCGTTCTTCGTGTGTTTGAATGTGTTAAGGTAACGTGCTATGTTTTTCAGATATAAATTTAGTTTCGTGTTGATTTTCTTTGTTTGTTGATTATTCTTCAGTGTTCAGTTATATGTATTTTATATTGATTTAATGGATTTGTCATTGATTAATTGTTCAATGATAACTTCGAGATTAGCTCGGGCATCTGGAGTTGTGTTTTATATTGCTTTGCTAAATGGTTTATAATTAATGTTCATTGACTTTTTTGAAATATATTCATTACTATATTTTTCATTTTTGCGGCTTGTTTTTTTAAGAATCTTGATTCGGCATGTATGTACATGGCTGATATGTTGGATTATGTGTTCCAATTTCTTTGATTTGAGAATTATTTTATTTTTTTAAAATTTCATAAATTAATTATAAAACTTAAAAAATATATTTTTATTCACTTCATCATAAGTTTCGTATTTTATTTCAGTTTGAAAGTAACACGAAAACTAGTTGTTAAATCATTTCATGGAAGATTATAGGTAGTGAAAAAAACCCGATTGTGAAGATTTGCGGCTTTCTTGGATAATTTACGAGCAGTCTTTGAGAAGTCAAGTTGGTTTTTTTGCATCTGAAAAAAGTTTCACAGTTTCGATAGAGAGAAGTGAACTATCAGTCGGTACATGTTGGCGGCTATCACGAGGTTTTCCGCTCTACGGAGGGAATTATTTTACGCCTGAGCTCCGTTTAATTAACTTTTTATGTTTGCTTTCTTTAACTCAGGTGTGGGACAACCATGAGGACGCAAATGTTCTGCTGTAATTAATCCGTTAACGTTGAACAAAACCACAAATTGCGCATTCCCAATAAAGCATGTTGCTGCTTTTGTACAAATATTGTGTAAACTAAAGACAAACAATTTTATATTTGTTGTATTTTGGGGAAAAATTTTATTAAGTATTTAACTTTTCTAATCCCATTTTTATGCAAAAATAAAGAATATTTATGCATAAACGAATGGACAGATTTTGTTTGTGTAAGTAACGTCTTACAGAAGTAAAATTTCATACTGTATATTAAATTTAGATTATATATATATATATATATATATATGTGTGTGTGTGTGTGTGTGTGTGTGTGTGTGTGTGTGTGTGTGTGTGTGTGTGTGTGTGTGTGTGTGTGTGTGTGTGTGTGTGTGTGTGTGTGTGTGTGTGTGTGTGTGTGTGTGTGTGTGTGTGTGTGTGTGTGTGTTAAATGAACCACTCATTTCACGTTATTATGAGAAAAATTCTTTCATGAAAATTAAATTTGTCAGATCTATTTATTAATTTATATTTTTAGATTCATGGGATTTGTTTTGAAATTACAAATCGGTAAGTTTGTTAATCATAGGAACGAGGCTAAAGTTGAAAATTTAAGATAAGATTTAAAAGATTTTTTGACAAATGCCTTCCATCATCTTCACATTATTCTACCGCAACTGTATTAATCATCATTTTGTGAGAGTGAATGCATTGAGAGGATTTATGAGAATGAAGGCAGTCCTGAGTAAGGGCATCATGATGAATTGGCCGGAGTTGAGTCCGGTATAATCTGATAACTAACTTCTACCAATAACCATCAACTTGTTATTTAAGACCCACCAGATAAAGGCAGATAACGTAGAAAAAATTGAATTATTTTTCCCTATTGTACGAAAATGTCGTGAGATTAATTTATAAATATTTATTAATACAAATAATTTTTTTTATTTTTACAATTATTGTGTGTTGGTCTGTATAACCTAAATTGATATTTAGTGAAAAAAATATTAAATAATAAATTAATTCCATTTATTAAATTCATATCCGTTTCGAAGAAGATTTATATCAATTTTATGACATTTTTTTAAAAGCATAACACAGAAACAAACAAGCCATTCTAAAATTCTAAGTGACATGAAAATGAACCAAGATAAAGAAAATTTGCTAAAGTGATTCTGACACACGGGTTGAAATGATAAGGTTGTAGCAGCTCGATCAAGGAAGAAAACATGAATTTGAGTGTTCAATCAATTCAAAACACATACATTGTTAGGCATACATTGACTATCTATGGTTATAAAAACAGAGATGGATAGCACGTTGATCTAACTTTATAGAGAAACATCTACCTTTACCAGGATAACATCTTGATTAATTAATTGAAAACCTTATTTGAAGCAAATACACAAGGAAAATAATTTTTAAG